CTTCTTGAGTTTCAATTTCATCTTGGCGACCAGCAAGTGATGATCTGATGCTATATCAGCTCCCCTCTTGGTTCTCACGTCTTCCATCATCCTCCTGAACGTTTTGTTAATGCAGATATGGTCGCTTTTGATTTGTGTAATGTGACCCGGTGCAGTCTATGTGGCTTTGTGTATGCATTTATGTGGGAATATAGTGCCGCCTATGACCAGTTTATTGATGGCACATAGGTTTGCAAATCTCTCACCATTTTTGTTCCTTTCTCCCAGTTCGTGTCGTCCCATAATGTCTTCATATTCGGTGTTGTCCATTCCAACCTTGGCATTTAAATCTCCCATTAGAATGGTCAGGTCCTTTGTTGCGCACTTTTCGACGATTGACTACAGCCTACTGTAGAATTGTTCTTAAGCGTTCTCATTTTATTCGTTGGTAGCGCAAAGCATTGAATGACGTTCGTTGAGATGCCCTTTTTCTTTGTTTTGAAGGGGGCTTTTATGATTCTTGGTCCATGAGATTCCCATCCTATAAGTGCATTTTGTGCTTGTCTGGACAGCACCTATGCAACTCATTGTGTATGTGTGTGATTTTCTTCACCATGACCGGAGTATAACAGCAGCTTCCCTGAAGCTAGTCGTTATTGTCTAACTGTCATCCAATGTGTTTCTGGATTGCACCTCCTCATCATGAGACGTCATCACTCTTCTAAATGAAGACCTTCTAACACCCAGAGAAGAGTTTAAATGGTTTGAATAATTTTTCCGCCTGGAGCCATTGCCGGTCCCAAGCCCAGATAAAGGATGAGGGTTGGGCATGGTTTTAGCTAACCCATCCCGTAGAGAAACAGCTCCCTAAAAACTACTAAATTTTTCAAACTGAAACACCATAATATAGTTTTGGATTCTTCGCTACTATCTTACGCAGTGCAATTATATAAACAAGTGAGGGTCTGGCTAGATAACTAAGCCATACACTGCTGTCCATAATCAATTCACTATTACAATTATAGAAGTAGATGTGCGGCTGTTAGTCATTATAAGGTTATCTGTAGTTTTGCACAGGATACAATAATCACATTTCAATCGCAGCCCTAAGACGTTTTGTACTATTTCAACACTTCACATTTCTTTGTCAATTAGGAATAAGACCAGACTTATGATCTTTGCGACTTCAAGGTGTCGCTTCAAAACGTAACAGTGCCTTTCCGACCAAAGCACTCCATAATAGCTCCAACGTGCAGGTCTTATTAGGTGTGATTTACCAAAGTACAATGTAATTCATCCCGCACAATTCGTTTCACTGCATCAACAAAATTGGGACATAACGAAGGAAGTGTTCCTCTGGCATTTCTCTTCTTCATTGAAGTGTGAATAAATCTGTGAATTTGTATAAGATGGAGAAACTAAAGCTAAATATTTAGATGGCATTCATTAACACGAGCGGAAGTAACCCTTATTTCTTTCTCAGAGTTGGGATCCTGTTTTTGAAATGAATGGATAAAGCGCTGGCATTTAAAGTAAACGGTACTAGGTGCGTCTTGCAAAGTGAAAGTCAAGTCTGGGATATGGGTACATCCAATTGATGAGTCAAAAGTAGGACGAAACATGCGTCCTGTATCCCACTACTAGCCACTACTCATCTCTGCTTAAAAATGTTTGTGACAATCCGCACATGATACACATAAGCCAAACGAGTTGTGTTAACTGGTAAGTTACTTTCAAAAGCTCAAGTTGCTATGTGGTGCAGTTAGTTTAACTAAGCTTGAATCGTACATAATGGTACTTTTTAACCTTTCAGTAAGTAGATATCTGGTAAATATATGAGCAGTGTATAAGTAGTCACACACAATTATTGAAACAACGACTTACATCAGTCATCAATAAAACGTATTGTGCAGCAAAGGTCATCATCAAAGAAAGAAGAAGGTGCATGCTTCATTTAAAACCTAAAGTACATGGAAACGATTGCGCCACCTCCCACTGTTTTACCAATTTAAATGTGTGTGTGGTCACATACATAGGGAGGAGTAATCGTGATCTCAACATTAGGGTGAGTGAACATGTACCCAAATGGCTTCAGAAACAAATACAATAAAGTGACCCAATAAAAGCAGAGGATAAGTATCCATAATCCTTGATTGCTAAACATATAATTGAAACAGGTCACAAGATTGATCTAAATTCAGAATGTGTAGTGTTGTATAAAAGGGCGTATACTAAGGTTTATTGAAGCCTTAGCCATACGAAAATTCAAACTCTTTCCGTGTGTTCAAATACAGTTTGTTCTTACCTTGAACCTACCTTGGTATTATTGACTTAATATCCAGAATGATGTTTCGCTTTGTGTTCACATTATTATTATTAATCTTATCATTATCCTTATCTCCACTTACCCCGTTTCCTGTCTAGTTGACGTTTTATTTTTTAAATATAAATGCTCTTAACAAGTATAAGTGACCAGATTGTTCGAAATGTATTGCACTAATATACCACATAGTTCTGATAATCTTCGTCTTCTAATATCATTATCGAAACCTATCAAAGAAACTAATTGTTTTAAATAAAGTAGGTTCCTGGTTTTCCTCAGTAATGGTTCAAAATGCTAGTATTGACTAATTTCTAGTGGTTGTAACGAAGCGATTAATTAAAGATTCGATTATGGATACATATACTCAAGTTAAGCTACATTGCTCAGTCACCCCCAATTATTAGGCTGTTTTCAGAATAGACGCACGAACCTATTTCAAGGTGCAAAGTCAGCGCCATAAACTCATTACCGTCTTGAGAACCAAGTACGCTAACACTGAAGAGAAGCTTTAGTTAAGTTATGCCTCCTAGTAAACGATGATCTTAGTAGGAACAGGAAGACCTAATTAGGAATCACCTGTAATTAAACAGCACTAAATTATGAGTTAAGAAAGTAGGAGCTACTGCACTACATTGAGAACCTTAAACTTCTGACTTTGAACCGCCCACATATTCGAGTGGTGCTTAGGAAAGTTGAGATGAAGGACATAAACATTGTAATCTTTCTTCATTCATTCTTTGGCCCTATTACTACGTAGCTGCCCGTCTCTGTACTTGTTCTGGATTGTCTAGTACTGGTACACAGCCACATGATTAACCATAGCTTTGGACAGATCCTAATAATTCAGGAAATGTAGGTCATAATAGCTATGTTGTATTCATAGGGTGTAGTGAGCTTCGGTATGCACGTCTTACCTATATGTCCTCGTATTTCTACGCTTATGTTGGTCTAAACACCCATTGAAGTATACACACGAGATTTGCAAAAAGAAGTATACAAACAGTCTGTACGAGTGAAAGTCGTTCATAAACTTAGAGAACAACTTCATGTGAATATACGGATCTACAGCTTTGGAATAAAGACATCGGGAAATAGTGACTGTCACCTGTTGTGTAAGAGAGACAGGATAGTAACTGGTTATTTTCCTGGGTAGAAAGTCTGACAGGTATTTTGTGTCATGTTTGCTCATCTTTTGTACCTAGTTGTGGTTCGCTGGTTTGTGCACTAGTCGGTCGGGCACGTGTTCTTGATCTGAGTCATGTTGAGGCCTTTCTGAATATTGCTAGCTGGGAAACTAGTATGTAGTGAGTAGCATACGCGGATAAGTCGTCCACTGTTCTTCCTTAACAAACTGTTGTTCGGTGTGTTCAGGAGAAATATGAGCATTATTCACTATCTGAATCACTAAGCAAGTACGTTTGTTTCTACTTGTGCTTGGTACTTTGTGTTAGTTATTCGGTTGGAGAAAACTGGTTGGCGGCCTATGCTCCATCGGGAGTAACATGAGTAACTAAGTAGTCGCAAATACTAGGGGGTGACCGCTCTCGAGCCTCTAACTCAGTACTTGAGTTTTGACCTCATTTGCCGAGACAACTGCTACAACTGAGTGACTATTAGTGAAAACACAAACCTTAACATCCATTGTTAAATACTAGACGGTCAATTTATTGAGCCTCTAGGGATTGAATAAATCGTCAAATTTCGGTTAAAAAGTTAACCTGTCCACTTTTCCGTACTGAGCAAGCTAATTACCATACTTACGTGGATATAAAATGTGGCATACAAACCAATAGCATTTGTATTTTTAGTACAAGAACTTATTGTTCAAGTGGAGCCCAAGGTACAATCTTACTATGAAAGACATTATATATACTGTCCTCGAGTTCAATTAGTTTGTACCAGTGTCAGACCACTTTTTCTCGAACAAACTTCATTAATGAGTAGTCTCTGGAATCTATTTACATGGCATCACTTGTATGTTACATCTGCGAAACCATTACCTGAAAGGTGCGGACCCAAACATCAATACAATCATGGATGTTACTATAGAACCGATCAGATTTTGCCACTCGACTGAGTAGCTATTTTAGCTTCCTTGGTTGACTAGCACACTGGTTAAATTATAGGCAATTATCAGGCGACCAGTAGGTACAGCTTCATTTATGGTTTTTCACCATCGTTAAGCAGTTTGAGGCACCGCGTCTCGATTTCTGATAAAATGAAAAGACATGCAATACACGGGATATTAACATATGTTTACAATTTTGTTCAGTATGCATTGGTCAAGTCACAGGTGTAGTTATTTGTAAAGGGACATAATGAGTAAGACACCACGAGTTTTGAAACAGTTTACGCATTAGTGTCATGGCTTTTTTGTCTTGATCAACACGAAAACAGTTCACAATGCCAACATATGAACTCAGTGTTTCTCATCCAGATTTGGGTTAACGTATTTGCATCAGCTGAAACAACACAACTTGCTTTTAGACACTAAAGCCCCAAGAGAAGAAAGTAGGGAGAATTACAATCCACAGCACTTCGAACTACAGTTACAGTAATTGGTGTTAAATTATTCTATATGTAGGCCAAGGTGACGTTCCGTATTATTTCATTCCTTACAGATCAAAACTTAAGACTTTTGTTCACAACAAAACTTCAGTAGTGGACCCTTGGAATAATGGTTAACAAAACCAAAGTTATGTACACAGTAAAGAGAAATTTTAATTTTTGCTGATTTCAATAACAAGACTATTTGAAACTGTTGGCTAATGCTAAACCGTCTAAAACTTATTCACTCTGAAATACAGAAAACCTATTTGTTTTAGTCAAGCAGCATGTTTTTGCGTATGTTAGCATACACTTCTTTCATTTCCTTCCATTTCAGAGCCATGTTGTCCATCATTTCAGCCGCACCCGGAGACTTTGGTGTCATAGATTTTCCTTCTGCTAAAAGGATGTTTAATTCTTTCTCCAAGATATCGAATCGTTTAAGCAGATCAGCATTTTCTGGTTCATCTTTAATTTCATTCCACTTTTTCTCTCGCTCCTCCTCATAGCGTTGTCCATCAACGAGAAGGAACCAGTGACCGCAAAAGCAACGTGCAGGGAGATTACGATACAAAACCAAACATTTAAGATGATGGTCGTGAGGACTACCTGTAAACAGGTAATAAGAAACAAACAACTAGTAAAATATCACTGGATCACGTTATCACAATAACCACTCTTGCTTTTGCACAAAGTTACATGTGGTCCAGACACAATCAGAAAAGAAAGAAGTGTCGAGCTCAGTGTTGTAATTGAAAAGAATTTGGTCGTTTGTCACCTCACAATGCGTTATTATAATGTATTATGCGTATGCACTGGGGCAGAGATTACTTAAGTTTTTGGTTTAAGTAATTATGATGGAAATATTTCACACCGAAGATCGTAAATGATATTTTATGTAAAAGACATAAACGATGTACTCGTAGGAAAGATATTTAAAATTGACTGACATGCAAGATATTCCGGGAAACAATTACAAGTTTGGGTGCACAGACTAATGTGAAGATGCTACACTCTCCCTGGAGTCATAGTGCCATGTCAGTCACCTTTAAACGTAAGTGGTGAAGTACATTTTTATACATTAAGGATACACTAGTCTTCACTAAAAACAAGTAATAGTGTTATCTCTATTAGGACAGAAATAAGATTTATGCACAAACCTGTTAAAGCCTAAAACCAGCGTAACTTAGCTACCAGTTGTATCGTATACTACTAGTGAACGCTCATTAAGACGTAGTCATGTGTAACATTAAAAAAAAAGACGATAATATGCCGTAAAATAAAATATGCCTAACGGAAAGCTTGTCAACTGGAATTGTTTCTTTGTGATAAGTGATATTCAATTTTCAGAAGAACTATAGTGTCTTAAGAGGCTTTTGTGAGCAATAAATTATTAATGCCAAGCCAGTCTACCGAAAACAGGTTCACGCCAGTCATTGATGGCATCAATAGATTTTATTGGTTATGCGCGCAAGCACTTGATGCTACGATGAGCAATATGCAGTACGCAGTCGGGATACATGCTATTGGTGTTCAGTCAGGGGTAGTCTTTAACGGTAGGAATATATCACAATCAGTTACTTTAATTTACAAAAAAAGGTTCTCAGAAGACGAATAACCCCACAATAACCGTCTTAGATGAACCCAAAACTGACCACGCCCATACATCTATTCAATGCCTCGACCGTTGTTGCTATGACGTGGTGGTCGGGCTTGCTTGTCGTGATGAAGCGATCCAGATATACTGGCTGCTGACTGTACAGAGGTGCAACAACAGTAAGATGTTCCCTTCAAACAACCAGCATAACAACGATGTCGCCTTCCCACTAGGGGGTGGGATTAGAAAAAGTTGACCCTAAGAATGAACCCCATTTATCCCACGGATTTCTGTTTCTAGCAGTAAGGTCCGACAACTACGGAGCCAACACGAAAACTACTCACAAAGAAGTCGTGTGTGACCGACCTCAAGCCGTTGTCCCCTGACAACTGCGGTCACGCTCTGAGGTCACTAAACCCATCCCTAACCAAATTTTTTCGGATACCTATAGAAAGATCCTTCCATAGTGTGGGCAACCGGGAAGTGATAACCGTCCTCGTACCTCAACAGTCAAAATCAATCTCTCTCTTTAATCCCTACTATTCTCTCTGCATCGACTTTCAACTATAAACCTCCTCTCTTGATTTTCTCATCAAGAGTCACTGTGGCCAACGACACTAGTGCGCGCAACACTGCCACAGGTTTACTGGAACCTCGCTCCAAACTACACATTGGAGCCTCTAAAGTACACACTGTGTTCAACAGGCCTCCTTGGTTAAAACCCTAGAATCTCGTACCCCTGATGCATAATGTCTCCGGAACACAAATACAGGATCCCAGTGTGGTCATTTACTTGACCTCACCTCTCCAAAATAAAGAGCCGACGAGATACGCCCGCCGTGTATCTGGCGACCCGATGGCCAGTTTTTGTGGACTGACAAATGCAGGCATAGCACTAAGTACGAGGGCGGAACAAGCACTATGAGAGTGGATCCCCGTTAGCAGAAGTCTGTGTGCTGGTCGGCTAAACGGCTCTGTAAGAATTCGGAAGTATAGGGACACACGTCCTTTCTGCCTACACTCCCACTGACTGCATCCTCGATGAAGTGAAGGATGACTTTTACAGAAAGCTTGCACTGATGAGTTCTCTGAACATGATGAAAAACGAAAATAAACCACATCTATATTAAGCAAATCTAAAGAACGACCGCAAGCAATGGTAGGTAGCGAAGCAAAAGAGATGGAAAAGGTGGTAGCCGTGGGTAACACCAGATAGCTTTTCCGAATAATAAAAGATACCGAGATCAAAAAATGAAGCGTGAGGCTATCTCGGAAAAAGACACTTATCTGTTTCCAGCCCAGACGTTTAGGACGATGAGCGGAACACTCGAAGGAGCAGTTCAGCTGGTCTTCAGCTACTCCACAACTAACCACCACTTCCAGACAGCGTGAATGGAACATTGTAGACCCCCACAACTCTAGCTGATGTTCAGAAGACTATAACTAATCTAAAAGGAGTAAGCGCAGCTGGTCCAGATGAATTGGCTTCAGGGGTGTTTTAGTTTGGTGGTCCAGTTTAAGCGATTAAGTTAACTAATATTTTAGCTAAATTCTGTGAGTTGGACGTAATCCCACATGACTGGTTGCAAATATATAAGAAGGGATCAAAATCATCCTATGATAACCAAAGAGCGATTAGTTTGAATAATATGGCATTTGGAATCAGGTTGGTTTTAAACCTGGTCGTGGCTGCATCGACCATATTTTCACGTCCGTCAGGTTTCAAAACACAGGCATGCATATCGTAGTTCCTCATGACTTAAAAGTAGCATTTAACTCCGTAGACCGAGAGGTCATATGGCAGTGTCTTTCATTGGAAGGTATACCTCAGAAGTACATGGACCTTGTGAAGGCTGTTTACTCGAACACTACTAATCGTGTCAGAGCTTATGGCGAACTGTTATCTGATTTTGCAACCTTAATTTGTGCCCATCAAGACTGTTCACCATCTCCATTTTTGTTCGACTTCATTATAGATATACTGATGGAAATAACGCTCTCGTCGACTGAGTTTTCGGACATTGATCTCCTTCCAGGAAGTCCACTTATCGACTTAGAATACGCAGATGATATAGTCCTGTTTGGTGAGAACACTGATAAAATACAGTCTTTTGGTGGTCTGAGCAACAATCTCAGGATGTTTGGAATGCGTTTCTCCACCTCTAAATGCACGTTGTCGCTTCAGAACTGGCCTGCGTCAACACTTGAACTAAAGATAGGAAGTGAAGTAGTCAAACGCGTTGACAACTTCACTTATCTTCGAAGTCTGGTCATCCCAAATGTATTGCTGTCTGACGAGATTTCAGCACGGATTCGAAAAGCTCGTTTGGCTTTTGTCAACTTACGTCATCTGTGGCGAAGGCGAGATATCTGTCTATCAATAAAAGAACGAGTATACTGCGCGGTAGTTCGTGCTGTTCTACTTTGTGGCTGTGAAACGTGACCATCAAGAGTAGAAGATGCTCATAAACTACTAGTATTTGACTACAGATGCCTTAGAAGTATAGCTCGCATCTGCTAGGATCACCGGGCAGGTAATAATGAAGTTAGACACAGGGTATTATGGATGGGCCACGTGGCACGCATGCCTGAACACCGATTACTGCGACACGCAATGCTGACTAGTGTTGGGGATGGTTGGAAGAAAGTTAGGGGAGGTCAAACCAAAACGTGGCATCAGTCTCTGAAGTCATTAGCTTCTGGTCTGAGCCATATTGGTAGGTGCACACAACTTGGTTGGGGTCCGCGCGACTATCGTAACAAATGGTTAGACTCTGGGTGACATAACTCAGGATCGATCACAATGGTGTAGGTGTATACACCCTTTGTCTTCCCTTAAACCGTGAGATTAAAATTGCCTTATACCTTTATTTCTACGAACTAATTCTTTCTTCCTATGTCCTTTTTTATATTACTACCATTGAAGTGACTACTTCTATAAATTTGGTGTTTATCCTGTGCTAATGTGGTGTGGTAACTTGGACCATTGTATATATGTGCCTGGTCCTACGTTGTAGCTGATTGACATGAAGGCACGAAATATATATGCACTACATAAATGATTCAATTTATATGGGGGCTGGAATACTGTCCGGGTGCCCGAATCGAAGCAGGTGGTTTTCTTAGGAAGACACTCCTCGAGTATTTGAACTAAGCGTATAATCCACAAGGCAATGGAGCAACGGTAAGAGATGCAGTCTCATGGTACCTGGTGACCGAGAATGGGTTAATACATCAGTTGTTCTCTAACGATCCTGGACTCTATGTGCGTCATTGGTTTGGAATCAAGGTTTTCCAACTCCCCTAGGTAGATCCTCCGTATCAACCAACCTGGTTAAACCACCAAACATTCGCTTTTCGCCCTCTCAATTTCGTAAACGTCACTCTCCCTTCGAGAAGGCAGGATAGGACTTCCCTGACAGTGGCTGTATACACGTGGCCATGTGAGAGCATTTGGAGTGGGAGATCGGACCGTTGTATGTGTCTGGTTCTATATTGTGACTGACTGGCTGATTTTCTAATGCTTGGTAACTGAGGCTGTTTAGGATTGTGCAGAGTAGTTATATCATTGCACAGCTACCCTTTCCGATAGGGCAGTCTATTCATTTAAAAAAGGATGAGGAACTACAAAAAGCTTATGGTTGTGCCATAATTGAGTAGGATTTAATATTAGTAAACCGCATTTACAGACCTCGGCAATGCCAATGTAGCCTCACATTGAAATCATTATAGCGTATTGACATGACTACGTGAACATAGAGCAACCTTAGTGCTATTACCTCAGTGGTTAGCACAGTAAGATTTAAAATGTTACATACGATTAACCATACATCACAACACTAAAACTAGGAGGAAACCAAAGGTATTGGTTAATGTTGACTCTAGGCTGTTATTACGGTACTAGCTTGTGAGAACGTCAACTTACAGTGACATCGCTGAATAGCTCTGACTCTAGAACTACCAACGAGATTAGGATTTTCTTTAGTACTGGACTTGATTTCTCCACGACCTGTGTCCGGCTAAAGTGATCGATCAATTTGATTAACCTCACATACTTCTACTTCTGAAATCTCCATGATAAGATCCTTTTGCAACCACGACAGCTTACTTTCCACAGGGACATTCAAATCTCCAGAATCTATATCAAGCTTAGTGAAGTCTTTAGCTAACCTGTATCGAAAAGATTATGGTTGTTGGTAATAAATTTAAGCATTCTGTCTTTTATTCCACCGGCAACAGTGGGACTCGTTGAAGACGAACATCGAGGTAGCAACCTCACTATAGACGACACTCGCCTGGAAATTGGACGGAGAGCCATTAAAATGACGATACTTGGCGCCTAACCCAAGGCACGACTTCCACACGGACTTTCCAATGTTCAATCTCTTTCTGAGACGTCCATACCTTACTGGAGAAAAGTCGAGTATCTGAAAGTGCTCTTCATAAGTTGCAAAATTGAATTTGGAACTGATTCCATACCTAGCCTTTGGATATGTATCGGTGTATGCATCTCATTCGCGAGTGAAGGAGGTAACGCTGATTATATACACTAAATGGGGCCGAATAAAACTACTTAAGATTAAGTAGAACGTGATCACACTGTGTAACCTCTTGCTTTTCATACTAAATATAATATTCTCGTCCCTGCCCAAATGTATTCTTCACAGGTCCTTAGCCGTAACCTCTTACTGTCACGATAGTATGGGTCTGTATAGACGATGTGACTTCCACATGAGGTCTGATAGATTGGGTAGTCATATCATGGCATATATGTAATTGTAGATTATTTCTATTATTCTAGTGAGATAGGTAAATGCACTTGATACCGACCTAGACCATAACTTAATAGGCTTATGTTGATAAAGGTTGTATGTTACGGCTAAGATGCTTAAAAACTGTTTTCATCGGATTTCTGCATCATCACGGTCTTTTTTGTTTGAGCTATTCGGAACTAACAACCAAGAAACTCCCTCTTCGACTTGTCGAAGACAGGTTACATGGCGGGATTTGTTTTTCGGGTCGGAGACAAATTGATCGCCTGGTTTTATATTACACTGAATTTTATTTTCCCTTATCGTCTCTGTCCATCTGTTCCCTGGTTGTCTGAACTGCATACATATACTGTCGTCCATAGTCCGCTTGCATTCCGCCTAGTAGTACCTTCCAATCCTTAGCATTTGAAGTATGACTCACTTAAAACATGTGTGAACCGTTTGTAGCTTTGACTGATTTGTAGCATAAAAGATAATTTGCAGTAAGAAATCCTGGTGAATGTCCACATCAAGTTAAGGATGAGCTTCCCAATCAACCAAACAAGAAGTCTAGAATACGACATTTGAATATGCATTTCCAGTAGAAGTTCATGTAACCTAGTGTATGAAATCCAAGAGGACTAAATATCGCCGGATGTACGCAGTTTAGCATACCCGAACTCCATCTGGTACGGTGCATTGGGTGGGCACTTTTAAACAAGGGTGTGCCAAATGAAACTTGTCATGTCCGCATCAAAGTTGGAGGATTACAATGCTTCGTAGATTTCAGTATCACTTATCAATACATACCCATATATCAACAAAGAATTCTAGCACGAGAGTTGGTGTTAGCTTTACATTCAAATTATAACCTGATTTTCTAGCCATAAACTCTAATGCAAATTTTTTAAACTAATTTGTAACTGTTTCGGCCATAGTAAATCTTTCGTTTTTTAAGGTCTCTTTATTATTGTCTAAACACCATCTGTAAAATATAGTCCCACCGGCTAACCTGTACTATACAAACAACTCGGAGTGGTCATAAGAACAACCTTACAATTATAAACAAACCAGTCAAGATCCTCGTTTCAAGATGTATTGAAACTTCAAAAAAACGGTAGGATTTGGAAGGATGTAGAATAATCGATACAAAAGACAAACTTGCTGGTGTAAACCGTGATAATGTTGTCTCACAAAACATTCAAAATACCAAATTCAATATAAGACACGATTTACAAGGAAAAGCTATCAATACTAAATTTTCACCAATATCCGTAATATGAGATTGTCACCAAAAATCAACATCAGCTGTAATCGTGGAACGACATCTAACCACACGAAATGATGAACTTCGTGCAAGGACTCAAGGGGACTTATATTGAATCTGGTCGATCGTCCATAAACCATAATCCCTCAGTCAAAATATCTATGCTCTGGTCGTGTGTTCAACTTAATAAATAATGTCTGTGCCAATAAATTTCGATATGAAAAGACCGACATTTTGAGGATTTATGTTGGTGTCAGAAATGAAGAATTAATTTCCTAGATACCTAATTCTAAACTATTCTCTAAGCTGTCGAGCACAGAGTCTTAGCTGAGCCAAAGTTAGAACAAGTAAGCTATTTTGTTTGATAAACTTGATCTGCTTATAAAATGTAAATTAACACTGTTAGTACAAAAAATAAACAATACACTGTCAAACAAGGAAAAGGAGAGGCATAAATAACATACTGAACAGTAACTAGAGGATATGAAAAATGAGTAGACAGATTGAATGTTTTATAATGAACATAAAATAGTGATTGGTGAATAAACAAGATGTAGCTATACAATATCAAAGAAAGTTTGTGGTGGGAATTTCATGTTATCATTGGTGGCTTCGTTTGTCGAACAAACTTTACACTGACTTCTTTTCAAATGTCTACGTGAACGGAGCTACAATAACATAACAGACCAAAGAGTCCCACCGGCTGATGATTTAATGTAAAACTCAGTAGTAATCCACTCAGTACCTTTTTATAGGATGGTGAAAGTCTTAACTTTTCCTCACAAGTTCTATATTCCATAAGATAAGGGAGTGAGCTCATTCCAACTTCAAAACTATCTCTAATTTGTCTGATGACCGTAATTACATTCTATTTATTCCTCAGTATATCATGTGCGATAGGCTTATTAGCCAGTCTTTCACCATGTTGTAGCTTTGAGAGCCTATAAATCAGTTTGTTTGAGATTCTTTGTACCTTCTCCGACGGCTTATTATATCATTTCATGTGGGAAGTGACTGATTGCCCGCAATACTATCGTTCCTTCAGACAAATACTCTGGACAAGCCCGGAAATGTTCTAACAACTACGTGGCCTAAAGGTCCATATGTCATTCAAAGAGTTTGAAACGTTTAAAATGTACTTTATGACAATAAGTAGTGATCTATGTTGTTTGGTAACAACCTATAGGTCACAGACTAAACAACTAGTAACCAACACTATTTATAGGGTGTCCATTTATATCTCTGACCCAATTCGCAGAAGCTGGACCGTTTGCCTGATTTATGCCGACTGTTCTGAAGCTTTAAACTATTCCCTTCGTTTCCTATCGTTACTTTCATCTCTATATTCTGTATGTATAACGAGATATGTGATGACAGAAATCTATAAGGTCCTTTTACCTGAAGAAATAACCCAACGCGCGATTTTCGAACGGGAAGTTTAGTCCTAACGTGTTTTGCATATATCAAACTTTTGCTGTGTTCTTACGCAACAAAAGTACCATTTCAGTTCTAAAAAATCTATCCTGAGCTATACGTTCGGTAGATTACTTTTTTTTGAGTTTCACTATATTTAATAGTTACCTGTGGTTTTGCCTCAGCTTACTATTCGTTTTTTTTGTTTTTCACGTATAGACTAGTTTCAGTTTATATCACTCGTTTTGTCCGTTTTTGTCCGTTTTCAGTGTGCATTTTAGTGTTCTTCTTTAAAAGGTCTTAAGCTTTTGCCAGCATCTATAACATAGTTTGCTTCAACACCGTCATGAAAAACTCATGCAAACGTCCGGGATGCCGTTTTGCTGTCACAACTGGCATGCAGTGTGACAACTGCAAAGGTTGGTTCCACGAAGCATGCACAAATCTGACAGCAACTGCCTACAACAAACTCAGCAAGTCAGACCAAAAGTGGGTATGTGTCACGTGCAACACGGACGCAGTAGTCTTGCTGAGTAACATCATTGTCCTACTGACAGGTCTTCGAAACAAGCTGTCAGTTAACTTGGAATACGACAGTAAAAAAACCGATATACAAACAAGAGCGCGCAACGGACTCAAAAATAGGGATGTCGATAGGTATGTCATCGATGGAGCATCCATCAACACTAACGACGACGTGTCGAGGCTCAGTACCATCATTACGTCGACGGTACTAGACTCCCTAGGCAAACTCGGATCCCCCAGCTCAGGGTCGCTGAACACAACAGTGTTTCCCAAAAACCCTGCAGGCGATTCGACCCACGTTAAGAGAGCCCAAAAGAACCAGGCATCACCGCCTAAGTCGAGCAACCCAAGTGTTGCTGCACGGAAAATAACTGGTGATTTAGTCGCACAGTCTACCCCCAAGACTGTTCGTCCGGTCAATAAAGAGCCCAAGATTCATAAACGCACACTTACCTCCAAAAAACAAGTTATTAAACCTGAACCCATCGTGAAACCTGGTAAACTAACAACAGTTCGTGACGATTCTCTCATTATCATGAACCTCGTCGACAATCCTGACCTTCCTCTCAGTCTGCAGGATAAAAACGACAGGATGCTGTGGGGTGAATTGAACAAAAAGCTCGAACTTCCTAGAATAGAGCCTTTGACGGTCACCCGGCTCACTCGAGGAAAGGATTCTAAGCATCTAAATCACCCGAGGCTTCTCCGAGTAACACTTAAGAATGCTACCGACGTAGAGGACGTCTTGCTAGCAAGTCACTTACTGAAATCAGATGGTAACGTAAGAATATTGCCCGACATACCGTACTCTGAGCGCAATATCATACGTAACGTCCCTAAAGAATCTCGCGAGAAGTTCTTCCGCGGAAGAAACATAATTGTCCAAGGTATACCGGAAAATGCAGACCCTACTCAATCAAATTCTGACATCAGGGAATGGAAATCCATCAAACAGTCCTTGAGGCTCAAACACATACTGACTCAGCATGTGACGAGACTAGCCAAGAAGGACGGTGATCTTAGACCCCGTCTAATGAATATAACCTTCCCATCTTCCCACATGGCGGCTGCAGTTCTGGAAGCATTTCGTGCTAATAGACGTCGATTGCCACCTGGAATCCACATGCACCCGGATAGGCCATACGAAGTCAGGACCAAGAACAAAGGCAAGCTAGAGCTGACCATTCCACTTGTGGACTGCCTAAACGATAAAAAAAACGTGTAAAGGACAGGGCCTACCACCTCGGCAAACCTCATATAGGTGGGCTACCTGTCCATTCACATAAGGTTCATACAGAAAAACAGGACGAAGCTCATGCGTTCCAAATTGAAAGCCTAAACTGCTTATATATGAACGCCGCGAGTTTACCAAACAAACTGGATGAACTACGTGAACTTAGCAACGCTAACAAGGCCCATCTGATAGGAATATCTGAAACCTAGATATCTTCTCAGTTCTCGGATCAAGAGTTAGCATTGCCTGGGATGACTTTGTTCCGCAACGACAGAAAAATAG